AGAAGCAGAACAAAATTAATTTGCTGACCAATTTGTTTTTCAGAAATGAACTGAAATTTTTGTTTTATAGCAGGGACAAACAAAACCAAACCCCAAAAACCTCTGTAACATTCCAGTGACTTGATGAATGACCCAAGTATGTTGTGAAAGATGGTGTGTAAAGGAATGCAGCATCTCTGAAGGCAGTGAACAAAACAGGGGCGGGGAGGGGGGGATTGTTTCAGATGCGAATGCATATCTGCTAGGGAATACCCAGTGGCCACAGGCTCTCACCTCTTGCCTTCTCAGCCTGAACTAAGTAGTCTGTAAACTTTGATCCTTTCTTTTCCTCTTTCTGTCTTGTAAATTCCCAAAACTTTGGAAGGAAACACAATACATTTTTGTTTTCTTTTTTTAATATTTTATTTATTTATTCATGAGAGACACACAGAGAGAGGCAGAGACACAAGCAGGCTCCCAGCAGGGAGCCCAATGTGGGTCTTGATCCCCGACTGGGGAATCAGGCCCTGAACCCAAGGCAGACACCCAACCGCTGAGCCACCCAGGCATCCCTAAATATTTATTTTCAAATAGCATGATCTACCTCTTTCCCTTTCGAGTGTATATCTAACTCCTTGTGAGAGAATCCTGGGCCCTGTAGCACCCAGTCCACAAAACAAATCAGGCAGTTGTCAGCAGCTACCCTTATTTGGATCAGACACATGACTCAGGTGAAACTGCCAACAAGAAGACCAATATGACTTGTGAGCAAAACAGACAAAAAGAGGAAACAAAACAGGAAAAGTTTCCATTTTCCATGTGTGTTCACCAGTTTTTCTTTGTTTGGTTTTTTTGAGTTGGCCTTGGGCATGAATTTAGAGAAAGCTAAGGAATACCAAGTACTACCATGAAGAGATTCTAGATTTACAGAATGGACATGTCATGCCCAGCTGCCCCTGGCCTTCGACTGAGAACAAGCCTGGAAAGATGAGGAAACTTTTAGGAAGGGTGAACTTATCCCATAGGAAGCACACTTCTAGATCAGGTTGGAGACACAAGGCTTCAAAGTAAAGGGACTTATGTCAGGTGGTCTGTAAAAGCACAGAAGACTGTGCCATGGCTCAGTCAGTTAAGTGTCTGCCTTCAGTTCAGGTCATGACCCCTGGGACTTGCATCAAGCCCCAAATTGGGCTCCGTGCTCAGCAGGGAGTCTGCTTCTCCCTCTACTCACTCGCACTCTGTCTCGCTATCTCTGTCACTATCTCTCTCTCTCTCAAATAAATAAATAAAATATTTTTAAAATAATAAATAAAAATTAATTTTAAAAAACATAGAAGATTATGTTTTAGAAAGAGGATAAATAAGGAGTGTTTTTAAAAAATTTGTTCTGGGATGACCTGTTCAAGACAGAAACAAAACACCTTCCAGTTTAACCCATTTCTGACTGAAAGTCATACCAGGGCTGATCCCTGAGGAAAAGTATGTTTAAACCTCGTACAGGGGCACCTGGCTGGCTCAGTTGGTAGAGCACGCAACCCCTTGATCTCAGGGTCATAAGTTTGAGCCTCAGGCTGGGTATACAGATTACTTAAAAATAAAATCCATAGGGACGCCTGGGTGACTCAGCGGCTGTGTCTGCCTTCGGCTTAGGCCATCATCCCAGGGTCCTGGAATTGAGTCCCGCATCAGGCTCCCCTCGAGGAGCCTGCTTCTCCCTCTGCCTATGTCTCTGCCTCTCTCATGAATAAATAAATAAAATTTAATAATAATAAATATTTAATAATAATAAATAAATAAAATAAAATCTATAAAAAGAATTAATTAATTTAAAAACAATCCCAAACCTCTTGCACAGTACTTTTCCTCCAGGGGTAGGGGCCAGAAAATATGATATAGTTCTTAACAAATGTTAAAGAGACATAATTTCAAACTTAAAAAGTGGCCTGAAAAATTCTGCGCTTCATTTTGCTAATTAGTGATATGCTACAGAAACCCATGAAAAATAACCCAAGCTCACCTAGCTCCAGGGTTCAGTCATATGTATATTGTGGGTCAAATGACTCATGAACATGCCAAGGAGACCATGTTTCTTGGGAAGTTTATGCAGTTTCTGGTCTGGTCCTGCTCATGATGGAAGTTGGGCACACAATGAAGTATTTGGCACCACTTCCCAATAAACTAGCCCACAGCCCTCTGTCCATCCTCTGGTGATTGGCCTGGTGGTCCTTAGAAGGTGAACACTCCATGTGGCTCCTGCCAGCATCTTCCTCCTGAGTGCTGCTGCTGGTGTTTCAAATGCTCCTGAAGACATGGGTTCTGAGTTTTCCTCACACTGGGTCCATTAGGAAACTGCCCTGTGGGCATCTCTTCCCAGGGCCAGTGGTTATTTCTCTTTTCCTTTCATTTCTTCTCCTACTTGTAGGAGGGACTCTGGAATACAAAAAGCAAAAGCATAAGAATGAGAAAATAGGAGGCATAGACACACAGAAGGGTTAGTTGTTTATGGAAAGTTTTAGGTCCTTGTCCTTTGAAACCACTGGCTTTAGAGAAATCCTCAAATAGAAATGTGGAGAGAACCAGAATTCAGGTTGTCACGATGTGAACTGAGTAGAAGATGGCAGGAGTGTGGATCCCCTTGCAGCCTCATTTGAAGAAGGCATATGTTGCAACGGGAAAGAAAGGCAGCTGAAACAGAAGTTGGTCAAACAGTTAAGGACTTCAACCACACTCACAGGTCCTAGAGCAGTCTTTGAACTCCCCAGTGGTCTAATTGAACAGGTTTCTCAACTGAGTCCAGGTAGATAGAGTTCTTGGGGCACCACCTGCAGGTCAATGAGGGAGAGTGCTGGGCTTGGGAGAGGAGGTAGGGGCCCATCCCAATAGCCACTCCTGGGCAGCACCGACACCCAGAGCCCTCATCATCTGTTGGTTGGGGCCCAGCAGGAGCCAAGGCTGTGCTCACTGAGAACGCCCGCATGCGAAGTGGGCCCCAGCCTGCAATCCATCCCAGCATTCCAAGCTTTTTTAACTAAGGGAAGCTTAGACAAGATAAGGAGACAAAGACAGAGAAGAGATGCACAACAGCAGTCATTGATACTCAGCTATGTAGAGACATGCCAATCAGCAGAAAGAAGGCTAGAAACCCAAAAGAAAAAAAAAAATGGACAAAGGATATGAACAGTTTCCAGAAAAGAGAACTACCATGACTGCCAAGAGCATGAAGAGCTATTCAAATTCCCCAGTTGTCAGAGAACCCAGATGTAAATTAGGAACCACTTTAGATTCATCAGATTAGTAAGCATTAGAAAATTAGTATCAAGTGTTAGGAGAAACCCAGAACCCTCACGGTAAGTGTGAAAATTCATACAGCCACCCAGGAGAGCATCTTCGGTGCCTTGTGAAATCAAGAGTGCCTGCACCTGCACTCTATGGCGTGGAAGTCCTACTTCAAGAATTCTCCCACAATTCATAAGGAGGTAGCATGAAGGTGTTCATGGCAGTATTGTATGTGACAGGGGCACTGAGGCCAAGCTAAGTGTGCATCACTGAAAGGTGTGGTGGATAATAAAAGTGCTGGATGCTCAACATGGCATGCTGCATGCAACTGGTAGAAGCAACAAAGGAGATGGATGTGGAAGACATTAGCGTTGAGTATAAAAATGTAAGGAACAGGGATCCCTGGGTGGCGCAGCGGTTTGGCGCCTGCCTTTGGCCCAGGGCGCGATCCTGGAGACCCGGGATCGAATCCCACATCGGGCTCCCGGTGCATGGAGCCTGCTTCTCCCTCTGCCTGTGTCTCTGCCCCTCTCTCTCTCTCTCTGTGACTATCATAAATAAATAAAAAAAAAAAACCTTTCTTTAAAAAAAAAAATGTAAGGAACAACAGAATGAGTTTTATACAGGATACCACGTTTGTGATTTGCAAATATCCATATAACAGCCAAGCCACGTGTAGTAGAGAACCGGCCAGGATTCAGGAAAGCTGACTGAGCACACTGAGAGGGGCCTGGTTCACCATGATGATGTGTCATAAACTGAGAAGTAGGGTTGATTCACCTCGGTCCATGAGGTCATACAATGCAGTGTGGTAGGTGGAGGATAAGCATCCTAGAGCTAGGTGAGCTTGGTTTCTCAGTTCTATCACCTGTAAGCATTTGGGATTCTGGCAAAGCATTCATTCATTCATTCATTCATTCATTTCATCCACAAATATTTAAGGAGCATCTACTCAGTGCCAAACACTGTTCTAGGCACTGTGGACACTAGTGGTGAATAAAACAACAGCATAAATAAAATAAGTTAATTTCAGGTAAGTGCTGTGGAATGTGAAATTGACTTTAAATTGCCTAGTCAGGGATGGTACCTCTGAGAGGCAACATTTGAGCAGGGACGCAGATAATGAAGGGACCCAGATGATGAAAGGACAAGAACAAGTTGTGAAAGAACAAGGTTAAGTGCTTTCCAGGCATAGAGAACAGCATGTGCAAAGGCCCTAAGATGAGAATGAGTTTGACCTGTGTTGCTGAGTAGGTGAAAGAGGGGCAGAGGAGGCTTGATAAGATTGGATAGGTAGGTAGGAACCAGTACATTCAGTTTTGTGGGCCGTAGTCAAAAAGGGCTCAGATATTATTTCAACAACAGAAAACCAAGGGACGGTTTTATACAGAGTGACTTAACCACATACTTTAAAAAACAAAACAAAACTTTTTTTCCCTTAAGAATAACACACAGAGAGGGGCGCCTCGGTGACTCAGTTCTTATGTGGCCAACTCTTGGTTTCTGTTTCAGGTCACAATCTCAGGGTCCTGGAATCAGGCCACATGGGACTCCACACTCAGATGAAGTTGGCTTGTGGATTTTCTCTCTCCCCCTTGGTCCCTCCCCCTGCTCCCACTCTCTCTCTCTCTCAAATAAGTATTTTTTTTAAATAACAGACAGAGAAAAAGATCAGATAGATTTTTTTAATTTATTTATTTATGATAGTCACAGAGAGAGAGAGAGGCAGAGACATAGGCAGAGGGAGAAGCAGGCTCCATGCACCGGGAGCCCGACGTGGGATTCGATCCCGGGTCTCCAGGATCGCGCCCTGAGCCAAAGGCAGGCGCCAAACCGCTGCGCCACCCAGGGATCCCGATCAGATAGATTTTAAAAGATCACTTTGGCTGCTGAGTGGAGACTGGATCGGAGGAATGGAAGCCACATAAGCTTTCTGGGCCTCAGTGTTTTCAGTCTCCACATCTGCAGTGGTGAGAATACCCATCCCGCGCAGATCTGCGGTGAGTCTGGGAGGGGACACAGTCTGGTCCCAGGGGTCTCCTTGGCTCTCTAGGCGCGGGATGGGACGCAGAAGGCCCCGTCTCAGGCTGGGAGCCTGACCCCCAGATGCCCTCCAAGCCCGAAACACAGACCGACGGATTGCCTCCGAGTGCTGCGCGCAGGCGGCCGCTAGGAGGCGCCCGGGCCCCCGTGCTGTCCCCAAAGGAGGCCCCTCCCACTGCCCCCCTCGGCGCTCGGCAACTCGGGCCTGCCGAGAGGGGGCGGGGCCGTTACGTGAGGGCGGAGCTTCGGCCTGGGCGCCGGGCAGCCGCGCTCCCAAGACTGCGCCCCGGGGCGGGTCCTGCGTGCGGGGGCGGGACCGTGGCGCTCCGGGCGAGCGGGCGCGGATGGCGGCGGCGAGGGGCGCCTGAGCGGGCCGGGGCCATGAGCGCCGCCCGGCCCCAGTTCAGCATCGATGACGCCTTCGAGCTGTCCCTGGAGGACGCGGGCCCGGGGCCCGAATTCAGCGGAGTCGCCCGCTTCGGGCCGCTGCACTTCGAGCGCCGGGCCCGGTTCGAGGTGGCCGACGAGGACAAGCAGTCCCGGCTGCGCTACCAGGTGAACGGCCCGGACCACCTCAACCCCAGCCCGGGTGCGACCCCAGGCCGGACCCTGGAGAACCCCAGCTCAAGGGAAATCTGTCTAGGGGCCCCAGCCTGCGTGGCCACTGATCCCGGGCCCTGCCCAGACCTTCTCAGCTCTGACTTTGGTCCCCAGCCGCTACTGGAGAGTCCACAACCGGAACCCGGGAGCGAGTCAGTCCTCTAGCCCCAACTGGAAATCCCACCCGGTGTCCCCACCCATCCTGGGTACTCACCCAATCCCCTCACCCGCCCTGGGCTGGAGAGCTCTTCTGTACCTGATCCAGACCTTGCCCAGACCCCAGAGCAGACCCTGAGCCTTCTAGGCCTCCGGCTTGTGTTCTAGAAGTCCCCACCCCAGCTGGAGGTTCCCCCACCCCCACACTCACAGGATGAATCCTTGCACGTGCCCTGACTCTACTAAACTGGAAATCTCCATTCTCCCTAGAGGACTTCCACCAACTCTAGGATCCTTTCCTTGGGAGACCTGTACCGGATTCCTGTGCCCCAAACCTGGAAACCATGGGCTTCTGCCTTTCCTTGGCACCCCAAATCCGGAGCCTCCAACTGGGCCTCTGAAATACCATTCTGAAAGCTCCACCCTGACTCCCAAACTTGAGAGAACTCCTGGCTTGGGACCCATGCTAGGAGCCCTCAAACAGCCCCTGTGGCTCCTGCCAACCCCCAGCCCCCTAAGCCCCCAGCCCCCACCTCCTACCTGGGTTTCGGTTTCTGTGAATCATCAAACCCGTTTTGCGGGGAGGGTGGAGGGCCAGGTGAGCAGCTGTCAGGCAGCCAGGCAAACAGCTGTGTGGCATTGCTTTCCTCCTCTCCCTGAGAGGGGAGTGGGAAGGGCCTGGGCCCAATCACCCCTCTGAGCCCTGTGTTCTGGAATAGAACCTGGAGAACGATGAGGATGGAGCCCAGCCCTCTCCGGAGCCCGATGGGGGAGTCGGCACCAGGTCAGGGCCAGGTGGGGACCCACCCTGTGTACTTCTAGCCCTATGCTTCTGGTTCCTGTTCCCCAGGTCCCTGGCCAGTCTTCCACCTCATATCACTCAGCTCCCTCACACTCTGTCCTACAAGGATTCCTAGCTTGATCCCCACTCCCCTCATGGGTTCTCCTGTCCTGCAGGGTCCCTGTACCCCAGTGCCAGTTTCACCCACTCAGTCCCACCAGGCTCTTTATCCTGAAGAACCCCCCCCCACCCTGGTCTGGCCCCTACCTTCCCGCAGATCACCTGTCCTATAGGAATCCCTAGCTTGAACCCCCACCCTTTGTCCACTCTCAGTACTGTCAGAGACCCCAGCCCCTGAATTCCTCTTCACCCTGTCCCCTCTAAGTGCTCCCTGCACCATCCCTGACCACGTCATTATGACCCCTTCCTTGCTTCCCCTGCCTCTCACTGGACCCACCTGGCCTGCAGGGATTCCAGCCGAACATCCATCCGCAGCTCCCAGTGGTCCTTCAGCACCATCAGCAATAGCACCCAGCGCTCCTACCATGCCTGCTGCAGGTGAGACCTTGCCCTGCTTAAGCCACCTGGGGTCTGTGCCCCAGAACAGGCAGCTCTGGCTTTCCACCTCAGTCCTCTGGGTGGGGAAGGGTAACAGGAGGGTGTTGGGCTCCTGTCACCTCTCACACCTATCCTGCTCTCCTGCCACCCAGCTGGACTCAACACCCTTTGATCCAGAAGAACCGCCGGGTGGTGCTGGCCTCCTTCCTGCTCCTGCTGCTGGGGCTGGGTGAGTGTCCTGAGGGTCCCTTGCCTACCCCCATGAGGGGTCTGTCCTCCTTTGTGCAGGTTCTGCATCCCCCTTACCACACTGAGCCTCCTTGCATCCTTGGGAGGAGCAGGCCCAGTCTCCTGGTCACACAGCCAGGAAATTGCACAGAGTTGAAAATGGAACTTAGTCTAGTACTCCAAACTTTTGTCTTTCTTCTCTTTTCTTTTCTTTTTTTTCTTTCTTTTTTTCTTCTTTCTTTTTTCTTTCTTTCTTTCTTTTCTTTCTTTCTCTTTCTTTCTCTTTCTTTCTTTCTTTCTTTCTTTCTTTCTTTCTTTCCTTTTCTTAGCCCATTGAATTCCATCAGGGAGCAGAAGAGTAACAGCCGTCATTTATTCTGAGTCTACTTTGAGCCAGGTGCAGGGTAGGCTTATTTTTCTGCCTTACAGAGGTCACACAGCAAGTGAGAGGCAGGGCCATAACTCAGAACCTGTATGGGGACAGATGCTCAGAGATATGCCCATCCCTGCCAGCCTGATCCATAGAGCACCTATCATTTCCCCTTCTCCGGAGTCTGAGTGCTGATGAGGACCTCTCCCCGCCCAGATGGGCAAATTGAAGCCCAGAACAGGCAGATCTCACAGCCAGATGTTTTCTGACTCATTCTATGGGGCTAAGGACTCAGGATCCCCAGAAAGGACAGGGTTGGGGTCAAGAGACCTAAAGACAGCCCAGCTGTGGCAACTGCTCTCCTTTCTCCAGGATGGTCAAAGTCCCCTGGCCAGAAAGCTGAACAGCGTCCTTGACTCAGCCCTGGGTGTCTATGTGCTCAGCTGAGCACTGGTCACACTGGCCACCTCCCTTACCCCATTTCATACTCTCAATACCCATGAGGGCAAGCATTATTACCATTCCTGTTCAGAAGTAAGGACAGAGCCTCAGGCAGGTAAAGGGACTTGCTCAGACCTTAACTGAGAAGTAGATGAACTGGAATTTAAACCCACATCAGAGGGACCCCCTGGGTGGCTCAGTGGTTGAGGGTCTGGTCATGGGATCAAGTCCCACATCATGCTCCCCACAGTGAGCCTGCTTCTCTCTTTGCCTATGTCTCTGCCTCTCTCTATGTCTCTAATGAATAAATAAATAATTTTTTAAAAAAACTAAATAAATAAACCCACATCAGGGACATTACCAGGCTGGAGATCACCATAGACCTAAAGGGCCTTTGTGGGAATTAGAAAAAGACACCTCCTCTGAGTGGGCAGGGCCCCCAGCTCTAAGCTTAGGGGGCAAGTAGTGTTCCAGCCCCCATCGCATACTTGAGGTGCTCTGTGCAAGGTACAAATCACATAGCAGTCCATGGTGGCCCCTCAAGCCTCTGTGCTCTATTGCCCACCTTGCTGCAGAGCCTGGCTCCCCCACCCCACCCCACCCCCAGTCCCATTCTCTAACTGGGGACCCAGGACCCTCTGGGTATGAAAAGCTGATTCAACCATGACTTCCCCAACACCCACTGTCCTCAGCCAAAGTCCACATCCCTCGCCATTGCCTACAGCTCCTGCCAAACTCTTCAGGCCTGGGCTCTTGCCTCACCACTCTTGCCAAAAGCTGGAAACTCCTAGAAAGCCCCAAGTTCCCTCTTGACTGTGGGCCCTTGCCATGCTGCTCCCTCTGTCTGGGGCAGTCCTCCCCTTTTCTGTCTGTACAATGCCCAGAGCAAAACATCTGGAGTCAGATTGCCTCTTCCTTAATGCAGCGTTCTGTGCCTCAGTTTCACCTTCTATGAAATGGGGATGATCATACCTGTTTCAGTCAGTCATGGTGACAATAAAGCAGGGCAGGTGACAAGCTTAGCCCAGTGCCTGGCAGCACCTGGTAAATGGTAACCAAGTATTAACTGCTGTTGCTACTGCTACCATGCCCAGCTTAGTTGCCACTGCCTCCAAAAAGCCCCTCCCAGATCCCCCAGGCTCCTATGCTGCCTGACCTGGCCTTAACACATCCCTATCACTGGGGTTGTAGCTTGGAGATTCTTGTTGGTTACACCATTAGGAAAGGGCCATGAGAGCAGGGACCTCATTTGCCTTTCCCAGTGGGATTCTCAGTACCAGGCACACAGCAGGTGTTCCACAAATATTTGTCGATTAACTGAAAGACCACACCAAGGAGCAGAGAAAAATCTCCTTTCAGACATTTCCCAGGGGGATACCATTCCTAGGGCCTAATCCTAGCTGGGGGGTTGTGGCTGGAGGTCCCCACCCGGTCCCCAGAGCCTACCCCCTCCTCCTGCCCTCACCCTCGCGGCTCCATCTGTGTGCAGTGCTGATCCTGATCGCCGTGGGACTGGAGGTGGCCCCCTCGTCAGGTGAGCGCCCCCTCCTACCTCCGCAGGCAAATGGGGGGCCCCCACAAGGGAAGAACTCCTGCGGGACCCGCGAACTCCCAGCCCCCTCGGAGTTTGCTTCCACCCTCGTAGCAGGAAACGGTCCCTTCAACCACGGACAGTGAGACTTGCCCAGGCAGTGCCCCCTGAGCCCTGCCCCTTGCCCCCCGCCTTGACTCTGCCCCTCCTCCTGCAGGTGTCTCCAGCGCCATCTTCTTTGTGCCCGGCTTCCTGTTGTTGGTCCCGGGAGGTGCGGAAGGGCTCCAGGGCGGCGCGGGGCGGGGCAGGGGCTGGAGAGGGGGCGGGGCAGGGGCTGGAGAGGGGGCGGGGCTGGAGAGGGGGCGGGGCCGGGCCGGGTCCTCGGCTCTGACCCGCCCCGCCCCGCAGTCTACCACGTGATCTTCATGTACTGCGCGGTCAAGGGCCACCGCGGCTTCCAGTTCTTCTACCTGCCCTACTTCGAGAAGTGAGCCGCGGGGCGGGATCCAGCCTTGTCTCCGAGCGGCACCAGGGGGCGCTCTTCGGGTCCGCCCCGCTCCGGTTCCCTCTTCACCAGGGAAGAACTCTGGGACCCGCCAGCCCCCAGACCCCTCGGAAGTTTGTTCAGGAAGTTTGCCCAATACCCAGGCCTGGGAAAGTCGCCCCTGGCCTGTTCTGTGCCTTAACTTATTCTTGTGCCCTGGAGCTGCTGGGTTGGTGGTGTTTTGTGCTAATAAAAGAATGTACTTAATTCCAAAAGAGACCATTGATCTTACTTGCCCACCAGCCCTGCCCAGGCCACCAGCCTGGCAACAGCCCCCCTCCCGCAAAAACTGAGGAAAGGGCTGATGGAGCTAAGGGACTCCAGGACTACTCATCTTCTCGTTGTACCCGTGACAGTCCTGATGCTCCAAGACTTGTACCTGCGCATTTGGGACAGAGCTGAACCTGGGACTCTGCCCTGCAAACCTGGAGGTTGTTCTAGCCTCCCGACTCCACCAGGCCTTAGCCGACTTGGCCCTGCCCATTTTTCAACCTAGAGGCTCAGCATTGGTGCCTGCCCCGGGTGGCCCTGGCCAAGGGCACTTGGATGACGCAGGCCTGGGGCCTAGAGGCTGGTATCCTGGTTGCAGCCTGGCTCTGGGGCCCTGGGCTGCCACAGCCAGCTCCAAATGTGGGCCATGACAAGGCAGCAGCCCAGCCCTCTCCACCCACTGCCCTATTTCCCAAGTTCAGGGATTGGGAGAAGTGGAGGCAAAGACAATGGGAAGCAAGGCCCATATGACAGAACTCAGTGATAAAAGACTCTTTGAACCACAGAAACATGAGCAACAGACCAATCTGAGAATTTTGGAAAACCTAAGCATCTCAGAATCTTGAGAGCCAGGGAACAGAATCTTCAAGAACCCTGAAACCTGAAATCATAATAGCTACCATTTATCAAGCTCTTAGAAAGCAGCAGCCCCTACACTATGTACTTAACATAGGTTATTTCTGATAATCACCACCTTAGTTCCATTTTGCAGATGAGGAAACCAAGGTCCAGAGAGCTGATTCACCCAAGGGCAAAGTTAGAAACATAAGCCAAGGCTTCCATGACACCTGGGTGTGGGAGAGAGAGGAGCAGATATAAAGCATGAATATCCTCAGCTGACCACTCAAGGGGCTGGCTGAAGGACTGTGGGCTGAGGTAGATCCTGTGCCTCATAGCCCACTTCTGTCTGCTATGCCTGTACTTAGATGAGCTTTCTTTCATTCATTTCTCCTAGTAAACCTGTTTTTCAAGCCATCACTTTAACGTCGGCCTCTCAATTCTCATTATCCTGCTTGAATGTATGTCTTAGATCCTGCACTAGGCTGTGGGGAAAAGCCTGTACATATACTTAGATGTTTACAGTCTGTCTCCCCCAGTAAAACAGGTGTGCAATTGAGAAGAGACCTGGCCTGGCCACTGTGTCTGCAGCAACCAGGGCAGCACAATGTCTTTAGATTTCTGTGACTTTGCTGAAAGAATGAACACCCAGTCCTCTGCTCCCACTCCCGCTCTCCTGCTTGGCCCCCAGTCAAGCACTCTGGGGAGCACCAGTTGGATACAGGAATTCCTAAATCAAACTAGCTGTGGCAAAGGACCGGTTTTCACTTATAATCCATTATGGACCAATACTTTGGCAAGACAAAATAAAACCTGGCCTAGAAAAGTGAAAAAAAGAAAGAAGACATACAGAATATATAAGCTCATAATTTATATTAGCAGATTAATTAGACATAAAATTATATATCAATGAATATAACCATGGGGAAAAAGGAACAAACATGGGGAAAAAGGAAAATTATGAAAACAATTCATTGTGAGCAAATAGGCAATTGATACAGAGTCACTGCCATGCTCATAACTTGTAATTCCACAATCTAAACAAAGTTATTGCAGAAGTTGGGATTCTCCACATTATAAGACTACAGCAAGTGTCAGCAAGCGATAGCCCACAGACCCAATATGGTCCCCAAGCTAAAAATGGTTTTTACAGTCTAGTAACAATTGGGGGAAGAAAATAAAAGAATAATAAGACACCTAAAAGTTTATAAAATTCAAATTTCAGGGTGCCTGGGTAGCTCAGTGGCTGAGTGTCTGCCTTCAGCTCAGGCCATGATCCCGGGGTCCTGGGATCGAGTTCTGCATTGGGCTTCCCGCGGGGAGCCTGCTTATCTCTCTGCCTATGTCTCTGCCTCTCTCTGTGTGTCTCTCATGAATAAATAAATAATTTTTTTAATTTTTATTTATTTACGATAGTCACAGAGAGAGAGAGAGAGAGAGAGAGAGAGAGGCAGAGACATAGGCAGAGGGAGAAGCAGGCTCCATGCACCGGGAGCCCGACGTGAGATTCGAGCCCGGGTCTCCAGGACCGTGTCCTGGGCCAAAGCCAGGCGCCAAACCGCTGCGCCACCCAGGGATCCCCAATAAATAATTTTTAAAAAGAACGCTGAATCGGGATCCCTGGGTGGCGCAGCGGTTTGGCGCCTGGCTTTGGCCCAGGACACGGTCCTGGAGACCCGGGCTCGAATCCCACGTCGGGCTCCCGGTGCATGGAGCCTGCTTCTCCCTCTGCCTATGTCTCTGCCTCTCTCTCTCTCTCTCTGTGACTATCATAAATAAATTTAATTTTAAAAAAAATTTTAAAAAAAGAAATAAACTACTATCCATTTTAAGGCATTGTTATTGGGGGTCTCCATCAGTCACAGGAAACTCAATCTATCATTGAAACTTTCCTCTGGTGCTGAGACTCTCTTAACCAAAAACTGCTCATAATTATTGTCATTTTTATTTTTAAAGGATTTTTCCTACCTTCTGGGGTTTTTTGTTTTTGTTTTTGTTTTTGTTTTAAGTGGGCTCCATACCCAGCATGGAGCCCAACTCAGGGCTTGAACTCACGACCCTGAGATCAAGAGTTGGTTGCTCAAATGACAGAGTGACTCAAGTAACCCCTTCCTACCTTCTCTTTTAATGTTTTCATGGACCCCACTTTTCTTTACTTTTTTTCCCCTCTTCTGTAGCCTTCTACTGGTTTAACCAAGAATTCTTCACTTTCCCTTTTTTCCTTCCTCTATGGATTTGACTGTCGAACAAAACATTCTATTGCTATTTTTATACATTGATTACCTTTAAATGGTTAACAAACTCTAAAGCTGAACAGTGAATCCATCCTTCTCTAGGAAAGAGGAGAAAAAAATTTCAGCATGTCCAAAATACCCCCTCCCATGTCCCATTTTATTTTGTCTATTATTTTAGTCCCTCCTTTGTTTTGAAAATCCCCCAAGCTAACTTTTTAAATTGTTAATCCTTCTTTAGATCCACCAATGTGTTTACTGATCACTTTCTTTATTTTTAAGATTGTATTTATTTATTTGAAAGAGAACAAGCAGGGGGTAGGAACAGAGGGAGAAGAAGTAGACTCCCCATGAGCAGGGAGCCTGACGCTGCGGGGTTCGATCCAGGACCCTGGGATCATGACCTGAGCAGAAGGCAGATACTTCACTAACTGAGCCACCCAGGCTCCCTTACTGATTGCTTTCCTGATCATAATTTAGTACATACTTGCCTTCATTCTGATCTGGATTTCCTTTTTACTGAAGCCATTCCTTGAAAGAGAGCATGTGGGTGGGAAACTCTTCTCAGCCCTCCTTTCCTAAAAAAAAAAAAAGGTGATGTTTCACCTTCATTCTTGAATAATGATTCAGTGAGGTATAGGCTTCTTGGCTGGCAATGACTTCTCCTCTGCATGATGAGCAGCTTATTTCATTGTCTTCTGGCATCTACCGTAGCCAACGAAAAGTCTTCATAAAGCCTCATTGCTGTTCCTTGTAAGTCAGCTGACTTTTGTCTTGAGTCGTTTATAAGGTTTTCCTTTTGAATTCTGCAGTTCCTCTGAAATGCACCTAGATTCTCAGTTGTTCTTATTTCTCCTTCTCAGGCTCCAGGGGGTACCTTCGATCTGAGCGCTTGTCTTTGTGGAAGCCTTTAAGTTTCAGTCCTCTAGTCTTTGAGGATCGCCTCATGCCCACTCTATAGTCTCTCCTTCTGAGACTCCTGATGACTTTTAACAACACGTTAACACTTTCCATCTGTTTATCCCTCAGTGCTACTTTATGGGTGATTTCTCAGATTAGCTTCCAATTCATTAATCTTCTATTGAATTCTATCTAATATGGTGTTTAATTTACCCCTCGATTCTTTTTTTTCATCCCAATGGCTATATCCTTTATTTTTATATTTATTTGTTTTATTTTTAAAGATTATATTGATTTATTCACGAGAGACACACAGAAAGAGGCAGAGACACAGGCAGGGGGAGAAGCAGGCTCGATCCCAGGACCTGATCATGACCTGGACGGAAGGTAAGATGCTCAACCACTGAGCCACCCAGGCGCCCCATCCTTTATTCTTAGAAGTTCTATTGGGTTATGCTTTTTAATCTTCCTGTTCTGTTTCATACTATTCTCACCTCTCTCCCTTCGTTTACCTCATTTGTGGTGGCATGTACTCATGGTCTCTTCCAGATGGTCCTACTACTTCTACTTTGGGGTGCTGATTCTCCTATTTGTTGCATCCGCCTAGTCTCCCTCACGGTGACCTGTTCTCTTATGTGATCACAAGCTCATCTTCAGAAGTGAGGACGAGGTTGTTATTTGTCTGCTAAGCCCATTGTGTCCTGGGTTGAAGAGTGCCCTTCCAGTAGCTTCTTTCTTTCTTCAGCATTCCATACCATGGAAATAGATCACTCTCTTGCCTAATGTGCAAACCTGAGTTTCATGTTCCTTGCGTGGGGAGGGGGTTGCGGTAGCTTTTTCCACTCAAGGCCCTGGACATCCTTTCCACTTCCTCAGGCTGGTAGGTGGAAATATATTTTGGTCCCTTTTCAGGAACAGGGTAGCCCTTCGAGACCCTGGAAGATACTCAGGCTCATGTACCATTCATCAGCCCCTTACAGGTCTTCTGTCACTCATAGGTGTAAGAGCCCAGGCTCCTGAACCTCTCTCCAAGCCTAAGATCCCCATGGTGTCCGCTCTCTCCCACCATCTACCTCTGAGTTCTTGCTTTGTCTTTAGTACCTGGGGTCACCCCTGGCTTTCTTTCAAGTTAACTTTTTTATTTTAACATTTTTACACAAGTAGTGGGAGGCACCCAGCCACCCTGCCAGTTCACCATGTTACCAGAATCCCCCCCCCAACTCTGTCTCCCATCTTTGAATGCTGCAGTGCCAGGGAGCTTGCTACCTCCCAAGAGTCTGGAGAGATCCAAATCTTGCTCACACTGGAGAAGGACAGGCAGCTGAGTGCAGGTTTCCTCCAGGCAGCCCAGGTGGGAGGAAGCTGAGGATGTAGGCAGGTGGGTGACATCATGAACCACCTCTCCAGCCAGGTGTTGTCAAGGACTGAAGAAGCCTGGGGGCTGCTGGGTCTCTTCCATTCTGGGGCTTCATGGGGTGGGTGTACAGTATGAACCCTGCTGGCCTGAGGCCAGAGGAGCAGCGTGTTCTCCCTTCTGGAACCTCAGTGGGTGAGAAGCATCATCACAAATTCTGGAGGAAAGAAGGAGCAGTGCTTGAGCCAGTCCTAGTCAGGGATCCTGGGAGGTGCTGGGCTCATCCCGGGTGCTGGAGGGGAAGAAGACTCACCATCAAAGTCTACGGTGCCATCCCCATTGAGATCCACTTCTCGGAGCATCTCATCCAGCTCAGAACCCACCAGTGGCTCCCCCAGCAGAGCCGGTGCTACCTGTCGCAGCTCTGCCACTGTGATTCGTCCATCTTTATCCCTGTCAAACTAGGATTCCAGCGGGTTCAGCCCCTCCTGCCCAAAGCTGGCTCTGCCTGGACCTGTCTCCATCTTGCCACCTTGCCACATTCTGTGTCTGGATGCCCCCACCTCTGCCAGCCCACCCAAACCTTCCACCTCCTCCCAGGCTGAGACAGTAGGCCCCCTCCTCCAGGAAGTCTCCTTGGGTGGATCTCCCAGCTGAGAGCGAGCTGGACCCTCTCCAACCCCTCCTTGGGCCTCCAGAGGCTGAGGCTCCCAGTCTCTCTGACATAGGTGGGAGGCCTGCAAGTTTGCTGTCCAACCACCCACCCAGCACCCGGCTCGACCACACTCCACACCTCTCGGAAGGCAATGCGCAGCTCCCGAATCCCCAACATGTGCGCTGTCTCTTCCCTGAGCTTTGGGCTCATCAATTCTACAAACTCCTCGAAGTCCACGCGGCCACCCACTGCGGACCCAGGCAGAGTGTCACATTGGAGAGGGCTGGGACCCAGAAGGGACATCACAAGCACCAGCCTCTCCCCAGCTTTGCACCCAGGAAGGAACGTCCAGCGTCCATGCCCTCAGGGCAGGTAGGAGGCTGGAGCCCCATCCTCCACAGGGACGACAGGGAGAGATGACTCGGTGCTCTCAGCAAAGCACCTATGTGTGGGGGAAGGAGACCAAGGTTTGGAACCAGGCACCCACAGGTTCGAACTCTGCCTCTATTGCCAATGGGGCATAGCCTTGGGGTGACTCACTAAGCCTCCTTCCTCATCCTGGTGCCAGGATGAGAGAATTGACTCTTGGGTGCTCTTATATGCTGGAACCTCATGGACAGCAATAAATGCCCCTCAAGAAGCATGGGCATCAGGGCACCTCGGTGGCTCAGTGGTTGAGCGTCTGCCTTTGGCTCTGGTTGTGATCCCGGGGTCCTGGGATCAAGTCCCATATGGGGCTCCCCACAGGGAGCCAGCTTCTCCCTCTGCCTGTGTCTCTGTCTCCCATGAATAAATAAATAAAATCTTAAAAAAAAAAAAAAAGAGGGGATCCCTGGGTGGCGCAGCGGTTTGGTGCCTGCCTTTGGCCCAGGGCGTGATCCTGGAGACTCAGGATCATGTCCCGTGTCGGGCTCCCTGCATGGAGCCTGCTTCTCCCTCTGCCTGTGTCTCTGCCTCTCTCCCTCTCTCTCTATGTCTATTGTGAATAAATAAATAAAATATTTTAAAAAATAAATAAAAATAAAAAGAGCATAGGCATCTTAGAATCCATGCCATCCATTATAAAAAGCACCAATGGTCAAAGAGCAGCTTTGCAGAAAAGAAAAGAAGCATGGCACTAAATGTCCCATTTGGGAAACCATAGAAATAGCAAATGCAGATGTCCTGGAATGAAGGAAATCTGATATTTGACAAATTAGCTAATGATAATCACACAAGTGCCTGCCTATCTGACATTTAATCGTAAGGAGTGGCCAGGGTTCTGTCACACTAGGCCTCACTGAGCCTCAGGAGGCTCTTTTCAGGGACCTCAGGAGGGTCAGAGAGATACAGAGATAGCCAATCAGGTGGCTAGTACTAGCAGGGAACATCTTATCACAGACAGAGGGGTCCTGAACCCAGCCCCAAGGATCTCTCTTGGATCACTGGTGCCTTTCTTGACCTCGCTGCCCCTACACCTGACAAGGCTAATGTCAGACTGTCAGAATGCCCTCGAAACGGTCACATACTCCTACCATCACCCTGTGGACTCCCAGAGCCACCTCCCACCACCCTCTTGTCATCCCCCAAACAATGAGACTCAGAGAGGACCAGGGCTGCCCAGCCTCAGCACAGAGCCAGGCTTCCCACCCCACCCCGCCTGGGGCCAGTGGGGGTCAGCCACTGACTGCGCATCTTGACGTGCTGGGAGACCTCGATGAGCTCCATCTCGGTGGGCATGTAGCCCAGCGTCCGCATGCAGTCGCCCAGGTCCCGGTAGCCAATGTAGCCATCCCGGTCGGTGTCGAACTCCTCAAAGGCAGCCTGAAGCTCTGTGGGGAAGGGAGTTCAGGCCCAGGCAGACAAACTCAGGGACACCTCCCACCCACCACTGCCACCAGCAAGAGCCACTCACCATCCAGCTCCTCGGGGCCTAGCTCGCGGTCCTGGAGAGGCAGAGTCCAGCATGTCCCTTGGACCCATCCTTCCTCCTCCAGCCCTGGGTCATGATGGCCTGGGCAGGGCCAGTCCCACAAGGCCAGGAGAAGGCAGCTGAAGTCCCATAGGCCCCAGAAAAGAGATGACCACCCCCCTTTCTGCTCCTGGGGCCCAGAGCTCTCACAGAATCCTGGGTTTGAAGTCTAGCTCTGCCCAATACCCAGGCTGGCCCAAGACCAACCCTTCCCCAAACTGCAGAAACTCTGTGCCTACGGCTCAGGCTCCTGGATCTGGAGCAGAGGTAGTGGGAGGCCTGAGTACTAGGGGCAGGGTGTGTTGAGTCCAAGGGCACAAGTGTGTCCCCCACTCCCCACCCTCATCCCCAACCTGGGTCCCACCTGACCTTTCCGAAGATGCGGTTGAGCAGAGGCCCGTAGGTCTTCTGAGCTGCATCATGTTGGGGGACGGAGCGATGCCGGTGGGACTGGCGACGGGTGGTTGGCCCAGCGGCTGCAGCACCTGTCTCCTCCTGTCCTTCCCCAGTTCCAGAGGTTTTCTTGCTGCCTCCTGGGGCCTCGGAGCCAGGGACTTGGTTCTGCTCCTCAGAGCTGCCAGCACCCTTCCGGGAACCTCGGAGCCCCTTCTTCTTGCTCCTCTTCCTGGTCAAAGGGAGGCCCTCAGCACTACCCCTGGAAGCCTCGACCCCCACAGGAGGCTTCTGAGAGTTGGGGGCCAGGTCTGGGCCATGTGGCCCCCTTGCCTGTTCTGTGGCCATATGGGGAGAGACGACGAGGCCCAGAGACGCGGCACCAGGGAGCACCCTTGGTTCTCAGGAACCATAAAGCTGCTTACACACCCCTACCCTGAGAGCTGATGGCCTGGGATGGAGACTTGAGGGGGATTAGGGTAAGTGAGGCAGGCAGCCCAGGCCCTAATCCCAGCCCTCTGCCTGGGGGTAGAGCCAGATGGGTCAAGAGGACTGTACTCAGCAACAGGGATGCTGGGACACAGGGCTGCAATGAGCTTCCAACTCTGGCTCTGTCACTTGTGAGCTGGGAGATCCAGCAATTTCACATCTCAGTCACCTGTCTATAAGATGGGGGTAATATTGCCCAACGCCAGTTGTGCGACACAGGCAGGACTTAGCCAGAGGACGAGGGAAGTCACGTCAGGAGGAATAGTGTGGACAAAAGCTGGCAGGTGGGAAAGAATAGGGTGAGTTGCCCACGCAGCCCCTTCACGGGGCACCTTGTGGCCAGAACAGAGGGTATGTGAAATTGAAGAAGCGAGGCCAGATCACAGAGTCCTTGAATGCCAGAGTGAGGGGCATGGGGGTGATGTCAGAGGAGGTGGACCCTGGCAGGTGGGGCAGGGGTGTGCAGAGTTTACCCTGAGGCAGAAGGGCCCAGGATGAGGGGGTTTTGGCCACCCGGCTCTGTCAGGGATGGGGTGGCCTGGCTGGTCACTTGGCCCCGCTAAGCTGGGGTTAGGGTTTCCCAGTGAGCAGCCCCATGAATGATTGATGTCTTCTCAGCTTGAGTTTCATACCAGCTGCCTTAGCGCCGCCAGGCACCATGCAGCAGGCCCCGGCGTGGGGCCCTACGGATGGCTGGACTGCAGGGCAGGCAGGCACGCCCTGCTCCTTCCGGCCAGCAGACTGCACCTCACAGGTAAGCCAGGCCTCACCTCTGGGGGCTCAGGGGAGCCCAGGGCTCTGATCCAGTAGAGACTGGAGCTTGCAGAGTGGGGTCTGCCTGAGGAGGAGCCCTAGGAGAGAGGACACCACCAGGCTAAAGGCCAAGGGGCTGGAATCATGGGGCCACCAGCAGGATCCAACCTTTCTGAGGCATCGACCTCCTCCCCTGACTCAGCGCTGGACCTCCGAGGGAAAGTCCCTGGGCCAATGAGGGAGGGTGTGGGCAGGGTGGGTGAGCGGGAGGTGCAGGAGGCCTCTCAAGTCCCAGCTACCCCATCCTAATCACACTGCTGAGCCCCCTACCCCTGCTCTGTTTGGTAGCCTCAAAGGACCACCTTCTCCCAGAGCAAGTGAGAAGAACAGGGCCACAGCTAGGGGTCGAGGATGATGAAAAAGCTCAAGCTGGGACAGTCCTCCTGGCCCCCAGCCTGCTGGGCCCTGAGTTACAGACCTCACCCTGAGTTCATGAGCTGCTCTTGCTGTGGGGAAGGGCCTCCTCAGGCCCAGGCTCCTGCCCACCCTTGGACCCCTACAGGTCCATGGGTCCCTGAACCTCCCCCTCTTGAAATCTAAAAATGCTTGAACCAGGATACCAGATGAAAAGGGGCCTCCAGTGATCTGACCAAGCAGTTTGCAAATTGTCTTCCCAGGAGCCCCAGGGGCACTACCCCTCCTTTAATTTGAGCACTCCATCCAGTTCACGTGAGAGTTCCACTATAATATTTTAGTCAAAAAAAAAAATTCACCAGCTTTATTTATTTTAAAGATTTTATTTATCTTTTTTAAGATTTATTTATTTATTTATTCATTCAGAGAAAGCCAGAGAGAGGCAGAGACACAGCAGAGAAGCAGGCTCCATGCAGGGAGCCCAATGTGGGACTCGATCCCGGGTCTCCAGGATCACACCCTGGGCTTCAGGTGGCGCTAAACCACTGCGCCACCGGGGCTGCCCAAGATTTTATTTATTTATTCATGAGAGACAGAGAGAGAGAGAGAGGCAGAGACACAGGCAGAGGGAGAAGCAGGCTCCATGCAGGAAGCCTGACATGGACTCGATCCCGGGACTCCAGGATCATGCCCTGGGCTGAAAGCAAGCGCTAAACCACTGAGCCACTCAGGGATCCCCAATTCACCAACTTTAAACATATGTTTGAAAGCCTCTGGTTTAGTCTACTTGGGGACACCAGCATTCCATGTAGCAGAATGATTGGGTCTCTGTCCTGCATCTGACTTTGAGCAAATCTCTGGTCCTCTGAACCTTCCTCTCCTCACCTGTAAAATGGATTGTATGAGGACTAGATGGTGTGACCTATTTAAAGTTCCTGGCAGAGGTTGACTATGCAAAAGGTGATAATGATGGTTCAGAGAAGGACAGTGACTTGCCCAGAGGTACACAGCACCCTCTCTCTCATACTCAGCCCCCCGTGATTTCATTGATTCTTCAGGCAACCACTCTGTAGCCGACGGCACACTGGGGACCTCAAATGGATGCTGCTATGGAAGCCAACCTGGGTGCTGCCGACCACGGGCCCCGCACAGAGCTGGACGATGAAGACTACTACCCCCAGGGTGGCTGGGACACGGTCTTCCTGGTGGCCCTGCTGCTCCTGGGGCTGCCAGCCAACGGGCTCATGGCGTGGCTGGCTGGCTCGCAGGCTCGGCAGGGAGCGGGCACGCGGCTTGCCCTGCTCCTGCTCAGCCTGGCCCTCTCCGATTTTTTGTTCCTGGCGGCAGCGGTCTTCCAGATCCTGGAGATCCAGCACGGAGGGCACTGGCCGCTGGGGACGGCCGCCTGCCGCTTCTACTACTTCCTGTGGGGTGTGTCGTACTCCTCGGGCCTCTTCCTGCTGGCCGCCCTCAGCCTGGACCGCTGCCTGCTGGCACTGTGTCCACGCTGGTACCCCGGGCGCCGCCCGGCCCGCCTGCCCCTCTGGGTGTGCGCCGGGGTCTGGGTGCTGGCCACGCTCTTCAGTGTGCCCTGGCTGGTCTTCCCCGAGGCCACCGTCTGGTGGTATGACCTGGTCATCTGCCTGGACTTCTGGGACAGCGAGGAGCTGCCGCTGCGGATGCTCGAGATCCTGGGGGGATTCCTGCCTTTCCTCCTGCTACTCGTCTGCCACGTGCTCACCCAGGCCACTGCCTGCAAGACCTGCTGCCGCCACCAGCCACGGCCCGCGGCCTGCCGGGGCTTTGCCCGCGTGGCCAAGACCATTCTGTCCACCTACGTGGTCCTGCGGCTGCCCTACCACGTGGCCCAGCTGCTCTACCTGGCCTTCCTGTGGGACATCTACCCCGGCTACCTGCTCTGGGAAACCCTGGTCTACTCCGACTATCTGATCCTGCTCAACAGCTGTCTCAGCCCCTTCCTCTGCCTCCTGGCCAGCGCTGACCTCCGTGCCCTGCTGCGTGCCGTGCTCTCCTCCTTTGCCGCGGCTCTGTGTGAAGAACGGCCGGGCAGCCTCACGCCGGCTGAGCCACAGGCCCAAGTGGACTCTGAGGGTCAGACTCTGCCAATGGCAGGGGCCCAGCCTCCAGGGAACCCTGTGACCCCCCCACAAGTGGTCCCTGCAGCCCAGCCCCAGTTGGATTCTGTGGCTCCCCCACGGTCAGATTTTGGGGTCCAGCCTCAGCTGAACTCCTCAGGCCAGCCACAGGTGAACCATGAGGCCCAGCCCCACGTGGACTCTGTGGCCCAGTCCCAAGTGAGCCCGAAGGCCCAGGCCCCTGGATCCCCTGCCAGCTCAGCCCCCAGACCCTGTGATGAAGCCTCTTCTGCTCCATCCACAGATCCCACCCCAGGAGCCCCTGAGAACCCAGCAGTGCCTGCTGCCTCTGACAGAGAAGGCCCCGGCAGTGTCCCCCCAGAGGAGGCCCCTGGAACAGGCCCCACGTGAGGGTCTGGGAAAGCCCAGGCCCATCAGGGCAGTGGAAGAGTTTGGGGGAGGCAGAGGAACCAGCCAGTCAGAGAGAAGGGAAGCTATAGAGGAAGTCACCATGGAAAACCCCACCTGGTCCCTTGGGCCTGTCAGGAGGACTTTGGGGAAGTGAAAATGAAGCACCAAAAGTCCCAGGCAGTTTGTCATGAGCGTCGTGTCCCTATGCAGGTCCCACTCAGCTTTTCCACACTTGCCCCTATGCCCAATGGCTCAGCAGTTGGAGCCAGGGCTAACCTGCTGGACTCTGCCATCCGACAGCCTGGACCCCTACCTCAGGCTGCAGGACAAAGCCAGCAGGGGTGACTTCCCTGGGCTGAAGCTGAGCCTCCCTTTCATCCTTCCCTCCCTCCTGTCCTCCCTGCCTCACCCAGAGGAGGGAGGCCCTGCGGAGGAGGAAGGCATTCACAAGCCAGCAGGACTCTAGGGCCCTAGGAGCCCACACAGGCTGGCCTGGCACAGCCAAGCCCTGTCCACCGGGCCTCTGCCCCCAACGGAGAGTGAGACCAGCAGGACTTCCCTCTGCAAGGCAGCGGGATTCCACTCAGGCCCTGGTGGCTCTGGATAAGCCATTTCACCCTCTGAGCTTCTGTTACATCTGCCATTGTGAGGATTAAGTCAGAAAGCAAGTGAGGCACTCAGCTAGAGCCTGGCATGCAGTAGGGCCTCAGTGAGCAGAAGTTCTCCAACTACTCACTGCCATCCAGAGGTGTCCCCGCAGGGGAGGAAGTGCCACCTGGCCTGGGCCTCTGGGGTCCTGTGAGCTTTGGGGCAGGTCAGCTGTGCCCATGACTAGTTCTGGGCCACAGACCCCCGGGGGCCCTGAGAGAATACAGGGCCGAGTCTTTGCTTTGGATGGCTCCAGAGGACTTCCGTGTCGGCTCTCTCCACTCAGGAGTTCAACTAGGGTCCACCTTCCCCCCCACCCTCACCTCCACCCACTATGGTCCTGCCTCCAGTGGAGCCCCTTCTGTGCACTCAGCCCACAGGCAGAGAGGCAAGGATGTCTAAACAGAGAGCTCTGGGGACCAGTGGCTCCAGAAAGGGTATAGGCCCCCAGGAGGTCACACAGCATCTCGGGGCAGAACCCACCTCTTCCCTCTCAAGGTGCAGACACTGCAAGAAAAAGTAGGAAGTGCTGAAGTTATCACTTCCGCCCCTCTCTTCCCTTTCACACCAGCGCTCTCTTCTGGCCACCCCCCCCCCAAGCTTTCCCTCACCATCCTGTGTTCCAAAACCATGAGCCCTTTCCCCTTTTAACCCACCCCCACCCCCACTCCAGTCCTTAGCCCTTAGCTCAGCGATGTGACCTGCAGCAGCTAAAAGCTGCCCTTAACCATAGGTATAAATGACAGACATTTCTGTGCTGCCCTTCCAGGGGTGCTTCCACTTGAAAAAGGCAGAAGGCAGTGCAGATGGTCTGGAGAGGCACAGGGAGATCTGGGTTCTGGTTGCTAGGTCCCCTTTCACCTCAGTTTTCTCCTCTGTAGAATGGGATGGTAATGTTCCCCTTGCAAGGGCTGCTGCTGTCATTAACTGGTCCCAGGGGTGGAAGCGACTTGAATGGTTGCCAATGCCAGGGGCATAATACCAGCATTTCCTGGTAACAGGACTATGGATGCCAAAGCTGCAGGAGAGAGATTTCTGAACAGGCATGAATTTGCTAAATTCATTCATTTATTGAGCACTTGTTAGGTGACCTTCCAGTCAGCCTTCCATTCTGGAGACACAAGGGTGGGGTTCACGGCATGGCCTCTGGTGCCCCATGGGGGTTTTTTGAATCCCAGCTTTACCACTCACCATGAACTGTAGGATCTTCAGCATGGCTCTTGGCTTCTCTGGGACTCAATATCCTCATCTCTAAAATGTGTATCGTATTAATGTTCCCCATTTCCTAGGAGTGTTAATCCCTATGAAGTACTTGGATCCTTACCTGGCACAGAGTAAGTGCTGCATAATTGTTAGCCATTAGCTTAATCATACCAGTGGGTATCCCCAAGCCTCACTCAGGCCTGGGATCAACACTCGCTCATGGGCCAGAGCCCATGTGGCAGCATCCTGCCCACCAGGCATTGTCCCCTCCACCAGACTGCCTCCTCCTCCCCCTGGTGCACACTCCCTGGAAGCAGGGTCTGGACTTGTGTCCTCCTTGGGGCACTTTGCATGCTCTTCCCCTTTCTCCCAGATAGCGGTCCCAAAGCTTTTACAACATGACCGGCAGATCAGGCACTAAAACCCCAGTGCCAGCCACCTGTCCCCAACTCTGGTCCCCATTCCAAACCTAGCCTTTTGGAGAGCGGGCCAGCCCCACTTTCAAGGTCCCTGAGGGGAGATCTCACCCATAATGGGTAATTGCTATCCAGGAGAAAGAGCAGTGCCATGAAGGGTTTCACGGGATAAAGAGGAATTCAACTGCTGACGCATAGAAAAGGGTTTTGTGTTAGAGGAAACATGCCCCCCCAAGGCCAGAGAGGTTGAAGGAAGGGCTCATCCCGACATTGCAAAGTCCATCTACCTCACCCCTAACATCCTAGGGGGCTGGGCTCCCATTGCCCTCTAGGAGACCCACCCCTGCTCTGGGTGAGAGATACCTCCCATGGGGACCTGATGTCTATTCTGAGAGTTGTGAATATGAGCATTTTCAATTCTCCATTCAGGACCGCTGTGCATTCATTCATTCAGTGTACATGACTTAAACCCACGCCGTGTGCTAGGTCTCACCCTAGGTGCTGGGGATATTGTGGAAAACGAGACAAAGTGCTACCCTCAGTTTGCTGACATTCTAGTGAGACAGGGCAGACAAAACACAAATATGCAAATCATTATATAATATAACATCAGATAGTGATTAACAAGGAGACAGGAGGAACAAGTAAGGGCCAGAGAGTGAGGGGAATGGTCTGAGACCTGGAGAAAGCAAGAGATGGAGCCTTTTCATCAGCTGGGGGGAAAGTTTCCAGATGGAGGAACAGGATGTACCCAGGCCCTGGGGTGGGAAAGAAGGTGGTTTGTCTCAGGGACAAGAGGATCAGTGTCACCAGACCACATGCAGGGAGAGGACAGAGGAAGGTAACATATGGGGGCGGGGGTGGGGGGGGCGCACATTGACTACTGGCATTATTTCAAGTGTGGCAATAAGGAGCAAGAGGAGGGCTTGGGGTAAGGGTCTGGTTTGGGCTTTAGACAACCCTGGCTGTTGCCTGGAGGGCACAATGGAGAGAGAGTCTTAGTGGCTGCATTCCCTCTTCCAAAGCACCCTCATTCCTGTCCTTTTTTGGAAGGGTTTGCCTCCCCCAGGGTATGTGGAAGCAAGTACTTTGGAGCCAAACAGATGGGGACTAAATGTTGGTGGGGTGACCTGGGGCAGGCACCCCTCCCCTCTGAGCTGTTTCCTCCTCAGGCAGTAGGATGGGGGGTGAATAGGGTGTAAGCCCCAGCCTGCCTGAGATGCACAGTGGGGCCTCCTGCAGCCCCAGATAAGACTCTGGCTTTGCTCTTCCTCCTCTTCCCACCTACCTCTCTTTCTGGGAAAGACACCCTGACCATCATCACCCCAGGGAAGGTGAGGGAGGTGGCACCAGCCCCAGGCAGAGGGGGCAGATTCTGCTTGTCAGACCTCGAGGAACATCTGAGTCACCCCGGAACAGGATATGGACTCCGATGGGGTATATTTGGGGCCGCCAGTCTGGGTTCCTGTCCCAGGAGTGAGCTAGGCGGGGGATCAACTGTGGACAGACCACTATGCCTCCATGGGAGATGGTCGGGGAGAGAAAGGAAGGTGCAAGGGATCTTGCAGGGGACACGCCCCCATTCCTATTTTTTAAAAAGATTTTATTTATTCATGAGAGACACACACAGAGAGGCAGAGACGCAGGCAGAGGGAGAAGCAGGCTCCATGCAGGGAGCCCGACGTGGGACTCCATCCATCCGGGGACTCCGGGCTCACCCCCTGAGCGAAAGGCAGACGCTCAACCACTGAGCCACCCAGGTGTCCCCCATTCCTGTTTTTAATAAGGAGGCCCGCCAGGCCCCAAGGGTGTGTTCATCGGAAAGAGTGGGTTGTCTGGGGCCTTCCACGTGCCCCTTAAAACACTGCTGTTGTATTTACAATGTTCATCACCAACGTGTACTTTTGTAACCTTTGAAAAGAGGCACGTGAATATATCGACTGTCAGACTAGATACTATATTTTGGAGTCCGGGGTGGCCTGGGGGACCCAGAAATATGCACTGGGATGGGGGTTTGGCAGGGGCTCCACCCGATCCTGGTACCTCCGAGGGCACCGCCAGAGGAGCAGGACTGGGACGGAGCCCGCACCCACTGCCCCTCCGGCCCGGGCCCCACCCCACCCTTTCGCTCCGAAGAGACCCGGGCGCCTGAGGGGCGGGGCTCGCCCAGGCCCCGCCCCTGCGCCCCCACGGCCCGGGCGCTCCCCGCCTCCGCGGCCGCTGGCAGCCTCCCGCCCCGCCCCTCCGCGCGTGACCTCGGCCCCGCCCCCGCGAGCCCCCGCCCCGCCCCCCCCACCCCCTGGCCCGGGCTCCTCTGTCACTTCCTGATTCCCGCTTCCTGCTTCCCAGAGGCCAGGATCCGGAGCCGCCCGAGGCCGGTGCCGCAGCCCCCGGCGTCCCCGGTGAGCGTAGCGGGCCGGGGCTGGGAGCGCGGGCGGGGGGCCGGATGAGGCTGCGGGGGCGGAGCCGAGGGAGGCTGGGGTGCGGGGTCGTGTGTCCGAGGAGCCCTTCCCCTCCGCGGCGCTCCACCCTCAGCCCCAAGCCCCTGTGGCTGCCCAGCGTCCCCCCCCACGGTTCACCTTGGACCCCGCTCCGAGGGCGCCCTGGGATGCTCTGCGGCGGGGAGCGGCATCCTGACCCCCGCCCAGCTCTGTCAGGCCTCCCTGACCCCCCCCCTCCCCCCCGGCCTGGGGCTCCCTGCAGCTCCCTGCACATTCCTGCAGGCACTGCACA